TGCTGAACAGCTAAAAGGCTTAGCTGTTTTAAGGCTACTCAAAGCAGTGTCAGGTTGTCTTGGACTACCTAAACCACCCCTGCAAGAGAAGATTCTGCTGTTAATGTTGCCAAGTGAAGTCTGCAGAGCAAGATAGAGAATCAAAATTCCTTTAGGAGCCGCTGAACATCCAATGTTCAGTAAACTGCAGGCGTTGCTAAGTTTTTAACTGATTCTCTAGACAGTAGGCAATTGTATCCCATCCTGTCTTTTCTGGGGTGATCTAGATAATCTGAATACTTCAGCCAACTGGTTTAAAAAAAAATAAAGTCCTGATTACCCCAATGACAGACAAACAGAAGTGGAATTCTTTTCCACTGTGCTTCTGTCTGTGCTTGCCGGAACAGATTACCCAGAGCCCGGCACCTGACAATATCGGTCTCTTATCTTCACCCTCTGCCAGTTTTGTAGCTTTATAGAAGATGTTCTAGTTGACACATCTTGGAATGCAGCATAAATAATCGCAATACTAAAAATGGATTTATGTGAACGAACAGCAGTTAATTCTCAGTGCTGGAGAACCAAGTTGCTCAAGAATATATTGAAGGCATGTGTATAAGGGGTTGACTTACTACTTTTTCTAAGTTTTACGTCTTATCTTAACTAATAGTATCCATAGGAAAATTGTTACATCTTCATTCTGTCTCCTAGCTCCCATTTTCAAAGGCCATTAAAGACAACTAAAAGTGTCTTGTGCTTTGTTTGGGCTCTAGTAACTTCCCCTGCCTACAATGACAGGTTAGTCATCTATGAAAGCTTTCATATTTGGAGGATTTAATTTTAGTTCAAGTGTTTTTGCTAGTACAGGAAAGGGAATTGGCTAGACGAGTCTACCATACTATTTCAGTTTTCCTTTATAAAGTTATTTACTACTTAAAAAGGAATGTTACATAACAAGAAATAAACTTAGAAATGAGTTTTTTATCTTTAAAGTGTTTTAAGGACACTGATCGTTATAGCAGTATGGTCAGCCTCTCTATTCCTCTCCTTTGAAGTGTAGCAAAAAGGGCTAGGCATGGTAGCAGAGTCCTTGCAAGTAAATCAACTAGACTATGTTTTTGTGTCATGGGTGACCTGGAAAAAGCAACGCTTTGTGGGAACTCATTAAAATCCTGGCTTATTCGTAATTCTTGTGAGGATCAGTAGAGCCTAATGTGTTCACAGGGCAGACTTCTTATTTTCTGTACTACTTGTTTTCAGAATTAATTTAACTTAAAGACATGAAGAATTTTGTTTTCTTCCTTAGTTTCTCTGAAAGTCTTGTTAAGAGTTCCAGTTTCTTTTGGGATATCTAATATCATAATGATCAGCTTGCTAAATCTTTAACAAAGGCTGTATTTTTGGATATTGGGAGTTAAGCAACTGTTGAAGAACAGTCAGTTTAACTGCTAATCAGTCTTTTCAATGTAATTACTCAGCTTTCAGTTTCTTTAATATAGTATGATTGTGGGGTTGTTTTTTGTTTGTTTGCTTTTTTTCCCAATTTACAGAGCTTTGGAAAAGACGAGATTAATTTAATGCTGGAAACTGAGGAAAGCTTTTCAATCTTGCATTCAGGAGAGAGAAGCAGCCCAGAACAGTTTCTTCTTCCCTGTTCCTTTCATAGGTCTCTCAAATATTTTCCGTCAATGGCAGCTGATAATATTAAATGCTTTGGCACATAGCCCCTTCCAAATCTGAGGCTAATTACAGTAGTTTACTGAGGACTTTTTTCACTGGAAAATGACTTACCAAAGTTGAAATTTAGCAGAAATTTTTTCCAAATTACTCCCATGCCTAATGATAACCCTGCTATTTGATCATATGGTCAGTACGTCCTCTGACCATGAGGAGAAGCTCCCTCATCGTCTCTACGGTATTTCATTTCTTGATCTCATCTGCAAATCTGATACTTTTTTGACCATGCTTTTTATATCATAGAAATAATACTACTCAAATGTGGGGAGATGCTCAAAGCTGGAGACAGTATTCCCAGTATGATCTCACCAGCATTGAGTGGACAGGATAATTTCTCTGTAGAGACTAATGCCGTTTTGTGGCATGAAGAAGTTGATTCTTCAATTTTTCTTCAAAAATAAGGATCAGCGGTCATCAAATGACTCTAGGAAATTCATTTGTTTCATTGTGAAATTAATTGCTAGAAGATGCTGTGATTGTATTCTTGCACAGACTTAGCCAACCACTCTTTGAATGTGTGTGCGTTTTATCAGTTGATGACTAATCAATACGAAGATACCACTTGGGTGTAAAAAGCCTTTGAACAGCATCTTGTTGGAAAGTGTCTTGTGTAGAAGTATCAGTAACTGTTTGTTCTTTATACTTTTTTCTTAGTACTTGCTAAGTACAGGATTCTTGGCTATTTAAAGTTTAGGCTTAGACAACATTTTTTTTTTTTATATGGTGGAGGAAAAGAAATTAACTACTGTGACCATGCCTGTGCATGTTAAACAAGAAAGGACACTGTATTGAGCTATGAAATGCACATTCAAAAGCCCTTTCCCCTGCCAAAAGATAGGTTTAAAAAAAAAAAGGGAAGACATTATCCACAAGGAATTTCAATACTTAATGAACCACTAGGAGAAAGGAAGGAGAAATTCTGCTGCAAATTGCTGAAGTCTTTGATAGCCCCATTGTCCAAACACTCCTCAGTGCAGGTATTATCACTGAAATATGACAGTAATAATAAGCTTATTGTCCAGACACTATGGCAGCAGTACAAAAGACTAATCTAGACCATATTAAGAGTAGACAGACCAATTGGTCTGAGAAAGTTGAACCATGATCTTCACTAATCTTTTTCACTTGAGTTACTCCTCTTTCTTGCCTATGTCACTCTTCTCAGCTCTCCTCAAGGTTTGACCAGTACTCAAATTTCCTGATATTACTAATCACGATACTTAATCTACATGTGACTCTTCATTCACTTGGGCAACTTGTTTGCTCTGTTAAATAACAACAAAGATATTTTTGAGACAGTGGTACTTTTTCACTGATGCTAGTGGAACACTTTTGTCCATGCTTTAGGAATCTAGAGCGTATGGCAGTATTCCTGGAACTTCTCTTTGTAACAGTGCATCGTACCAGTCATGCTTTGACTAACTGTTAAAATCTCTCTGGTTTTTGGTAGTTAAAGCTGATTTATTGCTAGATTTTTGTATTATTTTCTACTGAGACAGGATATGACGTTTATATTGTGCATATATTGTAAATTATTCAGGAGCCTGTATGCTTTCATTTTAATATATCAGTCTAATATTATCATGCTCTGAGATAAGAAGGCTAAGAAGTGACCCCTTAGGAGTAAGTGGAAGCCTTCAAATGTCTCCTTGTGGTACTGTTTATTTTTTATTTGGTTTTTCCTTAGCTTTTTTCTTGTGTAACCTCTTAATCTCCCTTGAGTGGCTATGATCCTAGCGGTGCTCTTTGTTGCTGTGATGTCTCCAGACTTATTCTTGCAGATTCTCTATGTGGAACTGTTAAAAATGCTAGCTCTTAATTATGTCAGTTTTGCTTACAAGAGTTCAGAGTTTTTTGTTTTTATAGAGGGAATTTTTCATGTGGAAGAATCCTAAAATGCTTAGCCAAGCTAGTAGTTATTGAGTCAAACAACTAAAATGGACATGTGCAGGGAGATATATGAAAGGTATTTAGCGACATGAAACAACAGATTGGCCCCCACTATCAACTGGGATGAGGGGTGGTTCTTTTTTGTCTGGTTGCTCTTTAGTACAAGAGCCTAGCTTAGTTTTGAGAGCTAGAGGTGGCATGTGTAAGCATGGGTACTAGGAGTTAAAAAATATTGAATTAGTAAACTGATGTGGCAAGTATATATTCAATGCTAGTATTTAGGCTAGAACAATTATGTAAGATATCTGGGACAAAGAAATGCTGAGGGAGCATGAAGGCTTTAAGTACCTAGTATATATCGAGAGGAACCAGTAATTAAACCGATTATTAAACCAGTAAAAAACCCGATTGAGGTGGATGAACAGAAGCCTTTTTTCTTTCGGGACAAGGTTATTAAGAAGTGACAGGCTGCCGCAAGGTTGTATCCATGTCCTTATCCTCTTCCCCTCAGGCATAAGAAGTTACTGATTGTGTGGAAGGAGGTAAGGGTCTCTTTGCCTTACCTGATTTGGTTAGCCTCCTTACTAATACTACTCTGTCTTCTAGAAGTCATTGATGTATATTGTTTATAAGCAAGGAAAAAGGTGACCCTTGATGAAAAGTGCAGTAAGGCAATGTCTGGTCCTCTCATCCAGTGGTGTTTTTTTTTTTTTTTTTTTTTTAAACTAAAATAGGTTGTGTATACCTAAAGACTCAAGGTTTTCCATTCACAAGAGAAGCCTAATTGTGTGCGTTGTTTTGTAGATAAATGATCCACTGACTGTTGCAGGTGTAAATGGTAGCTTTTAGTATTTTAAAGTGCAGATACATGGCGGAAGTTATGATTCTAATTGGGCAGCTTTTCTAGACAGCATTGTAGTTTTCTCCATGGCAATGCCTTGCAGGCATGCGCTGCTTGCTTTGTTGCCCTGCAAGGTACACAGCAAGGACTGCTACAGGCGAGTGTGGAAGTCCACTGTGGGGAATGCGAATCCTTTACTCGGTCGCTATCACCCTTTAGAACTCTGTTTTGTGCTGTAAGCCCCGTGTAGTCTTTCTGTCAGTTTCTACTGAAGGCGTTTTCTACAGCAGAGATATGAATTTGACTTCTGATCTTATTCCTGTTTTAAATAGTCTCTTCCTAGCTCTGTTTGACATAAAAGCCAATCCTTCAGCCCACAGGAGCCGATTTCATTTGTGTTTAAACTCTGAAATCTTATAATTAACAGATAGACTTGCTTTTTTGGCATGTATGATAAAACCCAAATCCCATAGCCTGACTTCTGTGCATATTGCATTAAAAATGCTTATTGCAGATGAGGTATATAGAAGTGAAAAGGCTTATCAAGAATGTGTTGAAGTCAGTGGAACTCTTGAGAGTGTGCATGCGCTGTGCATTTGCTCCTTTATTTTGTATAGCTCTGTATTTTAAGTAGAGACTCTTTCCTTTAGGTGGCTCTTGGACAGTGTTCACAGGAATAAATTTTTCAAAAAGCTGATCTTAGTAACATAAGTTTGTGGCTGACAATTACGTTTGTTTCTAGAAAGTAGGTTTGTTTTTTTTTTTTTGATCTGAATTTTTATGACAGGTAACTGTTTTGAGTTACTTCAGTTAACTGCAAGGTGCTGGTTAAATTCTACAGAATAAAAAGAGTTTAATGAAGAAGCACTTTAATTTTCAGCTGGGTTGCATTTTGGTGGTATTTATTCTCTGAGAAACGATAAATAATCCTTTATCGGTTTTCTTATTAAATAATAGAAAACTGCTTAAATTTAGCACTGAACAAGGCATGGCTAAGATTTTTTTTTTCCAGTGGCAAATGACCCACATATCCCAACAATGTATTATTTTATCTCTGCTTCCTTGAAATTAAATGACAGTTAGCAACATTCATGGCTGCAAACTGAATCTAAGAGCTCCAGGGAAAAACGCATGAAGCATTGTATTAATTGTTAGAAAATTTGTGTTCTCTGAGAACCGCTGGATAGAGCAGGAATTAATTGCAAACTGAATAGCGTACGTGCATGCCCTAGAGTTCCAAGTGCTTAGTATCTGACCTGTAAATTGGAATGGAGTGAAAAATACTTTTAGATGGATTTTCTTTACTTTTTTTGTATATATGTTAATTTTGGTACATTTACTTTTGGTATTTGCTAACTGCTTTAAAAGATTATTAAATATTAGTATGATATTTTCACATTGCATGTCTGATTTGCAAGGGTACAAAGGGATATAAATCTTCTGTTCTTTAGCCAAACCCATCAAACATACAAGCAGAATATTAGGAATACTTAATGAAAATAATTTCTGTATTACAGGGTCTTTCATGAAATTCCTTTTACTGTGCTCTAAGTTATGTCCTGTTTTCATCCTGATCTTCTATTTAATTTCTTAGAATAAAGTACTTAATAGGTAAACTCGACAAAATTTCAGATAGTAGCTTTACCAAAAAGGGGGAATTTTTAGATGAATTGGAGTAAGATTTATGTTCCCAATTTTGGCAAATGTTTTTGTTTGAAATTTTATCTTTTGTCTTAAATTCAAAATGTTTTTTTTTGAGAAGGAAAATAAAGATTAACTATTTGCACAGTACTAATTCCTGATATTTTTGGTTTTTCTTTGCTAGGTTGAAGACTGAAAAAGCGTTACGTCTGAGTATTATCGGTGAGTGGCAACTTCTATTACTGAATACAGTACTCAAATCTTTATCCTAGAATTTAAATTTTACCGACTTTGTAGATACTCCAGTTATAATTCAGAATTTCTTTCTCTATGATCTAGCTCTGTCATCTTAAAATAGACCTTGGAAAAGTGCTAAGGTACTTGACGTACTTACCTAAGGTCGTATATGCAGGGTTGAACTTGGGGCTCAGAGTATAGCCTACTTTTTAGGCAACATATGTGGCAACAGGGCAATATAGACAGAACATCTGTTTCTTGCATATGTATATATGTTGTACTCTTCTCTGTGGTTATGCTTAAGCATTTGTAAGAGAAGATGATATATGTAGAATAACGAACATGTGCTCTCAAATAAATTATAGTCAAAAACTGGAATATTTTTCTCATTCAAATATGACTGACACTTTACCTTTTCAGTTTAATCTGTTCAAAAGTTGTGTTAATTGGACCACCTCTTCAGCTGTTGCTTTTTCCTTAGGCCTTCCTAAGTTGCCATCTTAAAAAGTTTGTCCAGAGTGGCTTAATACAAATGATATTTTAGACACTAATTTCAGTAATTTAAGTAAATTGTAACAACTCTTTTGTGTAGTAGAGGGAGATATAAAACGCGTCTGAAATGATGCCTGTTAAAATGCTTCTGTTACAGCTACCTTTAAATCTCATGTGCACCATATCAGTGAGTCAAATTTCTATGATGCTATTCAAAACCTTGAAAAAATGGGAGTTTATTTCAGAAACTTTGAAGAACTTTAATTTGAGCTGGAATGATAAAATGATCATTAATGTCCCATTAATGTCCCCATTATTCTTGTAGGAGAAAAATTACAATGGTTTCAAAGTCACCTGGACCCCAGTAAAACGGACTACACAAAGAAGGAAGCTGGTGAACTAATTGAAAAGTAAGACTGATGTTAAAAATGGGATAAAAAGTTTAATTTCTTTTTTAAAAATAATGTTCTTAAATAAGATTTCTGAAATGATGGTGAATCAGAGGAGGGCTTTTAAATGTTATTATTAAAAATATCAAGTAGTTCTAAGATTGAGGATAATTATGTATTAAAAATGATGCATCAACTCTAGTGTTTATACATACAAGTTGTGCGTCTTTTAAAGCATATCTGCTTTTGCTGTGTGTGGAGGACTTCAAGTGATTTGGACAACAGTAATTGCATAAATTTACTTGTTGCGTTATTTAATGAGACTTAAGTGCACAGATTTCATTCTACTACTTACTCTTCTTTTGTTTAATTTTCTCAGCAGAGTAAATTAAACAGTACTCAGGTGGATTTTTAGGGCAAGAAGTATCAAACTTGGATCCATACAAAGAAATTGTTATTTCTCTGCTGCAGAAAATATGTAGCTACAGCCTGCCACCATTTTCACCTGCTAGCTAAATCAGAGTAGATATGTATTCTTACACAGGTGTCATTAGTTTCCTTTCCAAACCTCTGGTATATTTGCTGCACTGCTAAAGAAACATGTAACCTGCTAATCTAGTGATACTGCAAAGGCAATACAAACTCTTATTTTTTGTATTCAGTTGGCTGTTTAGGAGATGATGTAAAGGAACTTTGTTTTAAAAACCACTGCTGAAATGAAGTTCAGCACTTAAAAGTTAGGAAAACTTAGATCTAATGCTGTGGTCTTCAGGAGGTAAATAATGATAATGTGGGAGTCTGAACAAAAATTTTTGAATAAAAATAAGATTAAAAACAGTCATTATGAGGATCATCTGCTGCTTCTGGAAGTTTTGAATGAAGCTTCCATTTTGAAGATTAATCTAACATGTCAAATTAAGGAATTTATCTCAACTAGCTTAAAATTTACAAAAAACTTCTTAGACTATTACAGTAATTCTGTTCTGCAAAAGTTTTGTATGACTACTTCTAGCATAAATACATTTCATCTTTTTCAGTTATCTGTGTCGATTTAATGCTGAATTGGAGCAGATTGAATTACAAAACAGTATTAAAGGTAGACAAGGAAGACAGCATGGTTCTCGGGAAACTGTCATCAGGCAGACTATAGAACGTGAAAGACAACTCTACGAAGGCTATGGAATAGGTATGTAAAGACATTAAATATAATCCTGCAATCACAACTCCGCCCTTTGTTCAAAAGGCTAGAACCTAAGGCCTAGAAATTTCACTTATGTTCATTTTTCTCTCCTCGGAAGAAACTGCTAGGGGTTTTTGGAATGCTTTGCAGATGAGTTGGGGGAAGGGGAGAGATATAAGTAATAAATATCTGACTCAAATATTTCTACTTTACTTCCTGGCAGTTATGCATATTTGCTTGTATTGCTGCTTTAGTGCAGGCAATAGTACAGATTTTTTTTGAAACTGAAATGAGATTTAATGTACCTTTCTCAAATGTAAATCCTCTCCAGCAGCTTGCTTGGTCCTTCATTCTACAAAAGTATTTTTAGATGAAAAAGTCATTTCAGTGGGTGTGCTGTTTATAGGCATGCATGTTTTAATGTGGTGTTGGCATGAAGACTTCATTTGACCATGTGGGCAATAACCAGCATAATACGCTCTGCAACTTAATTACTTTTACAGGTGGGCTTCATTATCTGGACTTGTGTCAATGCAGTGTTTGTACACAGCTTACTTTAACGTTCTTTCAGTAACGTACAAACTTAGTGGGTGTAAACCTCTGGCCTGACTTGCCCCTCTCCACGGAAGTGGACCAGGGGTATGTGGAACTCTTGGAAGTTCTCTGTCATGAGAGAGCGAGCTTTAGGACTCATGAGGAGGCTCACGGTCCCTACGAAATCAAGGGCCCAAAGGATCTTCAGAGGGAGACTGTTTGTTCCACTGAGGTCTGATATGCTGGTTGCCTCTTCATGTGGGAAAATGACTGCAGCAGAAATTGTAGTGCTGATATATTTCCAAAATGTGAGTGTTTCTGGAATTCTTCCCGTTAAAATTTAGGGAGTCCAGCAAGAAATAGTGGGCCATTGTGACATATCTGAAGCTCTATTCTGCACTCACAAGTGATATGCCACACAAGTTTTAAAAAAAAAAAAAGTTTTTCTCTGGTTCTTGGGTGGAGATGATCTGCCCTTGCAGTGATTTGGGGGAGATATTTGAGGAAGTGAAACTGCACTCTCTTTGTGAAGGCCTAGCACTTGCTTGTTAATCAAAGACCCTCAAAAACTCTGAAGATTTAAATGAAAATTTTATAGATAAGAGTCAAGTTGAAAGCACTTGGAGGTTTTTAAACATCTAGCTTGTGCTTGGTCAGTGGTCAGTATCACAAATCTGATGTTTGATCAAAATGCCAGATATTCTTGTTTGGCTTTTTTTGTTACCATTTATTTTCCTTTAGGGGTAGCCATCTATGCAAACAGAGCATCGAATGAAATCTTCAACAGAGCTGAGAAGGAGCTGTGTCAAAAACCACAACAAAAGTGTTAGAGCTGAAAATTTCCTCTTAAGGTGCATAGGATTTGCTGTAAAAAGCAAACACCTAAACTCTATTTTTTCTTTTTGGAAGGTAGCACACAGATACAAGCTACCTTTGAGAGGGAGAGAAATAAAAGACAGAAAATTGGATAGCTGGAACTGGGCTGAAGATTTGCAGCAGTAAACTGGCGAAATAAGGGAGAAATGAGAAAGAATAACTTAAGTAAAAAAGGAAGCAAGGAACTATTGAGATCGATGAAGTACAAAATAATACTGAAATTTGATTTATATTTTTCTTTAACAAATGAACATGTTAGACCAAGTGTCCAACTTTGCTTTGCTAAAATGTTGTTCAAAGGCAGTGTAGCCAATGGTGGGAAAAAATCATGAAAGAAATTTAGACGTGACATTGCTTTGGGAGTAGGACGTAAAGTGCAACAAAATTTGTGTTGTGTTGTATTCCTTCCCCCCACTCCCTCCCAAATGGATTTTACCAATAAAAAAAAAGTAGGGCTCTGAAAATGTTCCTAGTGTTACTTACTGCTTTCACATACTATAGTGGCAGAGGAATTCAGGAATATCTAAATGACTTCATGCATAATGGAAATTCATCTTTCTTTCTATGACTTTCCCCCACACTTCTAAGAAAGAGAGATAATAATGAATGTTACAACTGCTCAGTTGCAGCAAATCTCCTTTCTGATTTTGCTTTTAAATTTTAGTTTTTCCGTTTTTCCTTATTGCTTTGTGGAAAAACTGTTAGAAAAAACAATAGGACTAGATAATCTAGAAAGATGTCAGATGCACAAGCACAACACAAGAATGAAGAAGAATCCAGAAACACTATAAGCAAAACTTGAGGCTATTATAACATTAGTAAGGCATTCAGAGAGCATGGTGCAACTTCAGATATTAAATACACTCTCAAATCATTCATTATTTGTTATCACAGCTGCTGCAGGTTTTGCTCTCTGTCTAGGACATGCTATTCATTCAGGAAATAGTTGCTGCTAAATACTGTAATTAGAGATTGAGGGAAAAATGGAAATCAGCTGGAAACTGCTTTTATGCTCTAGCTCATTATCACTAAAAGCTTCAGTGAGGGGAGCTCTTATAACTGACTTAGTATTGGGGGTTTTTTCCTGTTTTTGAACTGAATTATTTCTTGTATGTATGCACATTTGTTCTGAAGAGACTGCATGGTATGAATTGTTTGCGTTTAAGAAAGCTTCCAAAAATTTGGTGTCTTGCATATATCCGTTGTATGTAAAATATAGATTTTAGAAAATTTAGATGAGTGGGTTTTTTTTCTGACTGCTTACAAAAGTGGTGGAAATATGCACGTGTATAGTAGGTTTTAGTCATAAAAAAAATAATAATACTGGTAAGGGAACATCCAGTCTGTGAGGCTGTTGAGTTATGTTGGTAGTTACTTGTCACTTCCTTACTCCTTAAATATATCTAAACTAATTTTACTGCTTTTTTTCTCTTCTCGACACTGTCATTTGCGGTTTTTTTTTTTTTCCTCCTAATGATCTTCATGGCAAAGCTGTTGAAAGGGAATCCTGGAAGTTGACAAGATATGTATGCCTTTGGAACTCAGCATGCTTTCAGCTGAAATGCGTCAAACTCATTTATCTGAAAATCCTACTTTTTTTTATACTTGGCTTTTATTGACCTTCAGTGTTATCACAGAATCGTAATGTAAATCTTAGGAGAAATGACCTTTAAAAATAAACATGCTGCATCTTTCATCTAATGTATCTGCTAGTGTACTATTCTGTACTGTTTGTTAGCTGCTGTTTTCTGTAACAATCGCTGTCATGTAAGTGAATTGCTCTTTAAATAAAGAGCATCTACAGTTTCTAATATCCTTTTCCCTTTTTAACTTCAGCCTCTGATATCATCTGTTGACTTGACTTCAGATGTTTCTCTGTATGATGGTTCTAATGGATGTGATTATGCATGCTGCTTATAGTCTGTTCTAGGCCAGTAACTTTTCAGTCCATATGAAATGTAGGTAGATCTCCTGTGCAGATTTTAGTGCTTTGGGGGAGAGATGTGAGTACTGCTATGAAAAAACAGTACTCTGGAAGGAAATAAAACATCAAAGCACATTGTCAGAGAATGTGCAGCAAGACAGAAGGACCTTCTGATACCAGCATTGGCTCTTCTCCCACTCTTTTCTCTGGAATCCATCCAGTCCAAGCCTGTGCACAGAGGTGGGATCAGTTAGACCTACTGCTGGCAGATTTTTTTCATCTTCAAGGTTCTTAAGAGTATCATAAGTAATCTGGTCTAATGCTTCTCCTTCCTAACAGTTAGAAAGGTCCTTTTTCCATCTTTAGATGAGACAACACCTTAACATTTTTAAAGTAAACTAAGTTCACAAGTAGCAGCAAAAACCATGAAGCTCGTGCATGCTAAGGATATACTGCTGAGTAAAACAAGGGTGTTACTAATCTGAAAACAGAGCTAATGCAACTTTGCAGCATAATGACAAAAATCAGTTACCGTATAGTAGTATATCATTAGTTTGTTTCTGCTGGACTATGGTTTCTAGTTCTGTTCCTAATCTGGCAATTCTGATGTTTGTATGGGATAAGATATTGTAAATTATGTGAAAAAGAACATCAACAATTCTGCCACTGCCAAAGCAGGAAAAAGCAATTCACTGCTAACTCTTGTTCTTTCTTCTTTTTTCAAACTCCACCAACACCCACTTTCTCTTGACATAGCAGTGAGCCATGGATGATAGGCTAGATAAAATATTAAAATGTTCTACTTGGAAAAAGTCCAACATAAGGTGATAAAAGTAATTAACTTTCCAAGTCTTCTTCCCCCTCCTCCCCCAACCAAAACAGTTGGAAGAGCTTAGTTTGAAAGTCACATCATTTAATCTTGGTTTGTCAGAGAATGATGCTTAAACGGTACCTTGGCTCAGCACTTTGATAGAAGGAACAAAGGAATCGGCACACTTCTGGGGCAACTGGCCTAAGTTAGCATACTGCCAAACTCACTGTTAACATTACCGAGTTCTGTACTAGGGCAGGAGATAACTGAGTAGGCATTGCTCCTTGTGAAATGACTGAGAGAAGGGATGAACTGGTCTTTCATGGTGCAGCTGGGACACTTCAGCACTTGGCAGTGTGCTGCCAGGAATGCAAGAGTCAAGGGACTAGGGAGAAAGGAAGAGGGTGTGTGGCTTTGTTTCAAAACTTAGTTGGGAAGGATGGGCCTGTGGTCAACATTGATGTTTATCAGAACCAAGAAATCATCAGACTCTTTGTTTACTTAAAAAAAAAAAAAAGTTGTTTGCCTTGCCTCACTCAGGTGTGAGCAGTAGCAGAAACATCCACTGAATCTATTCGCTGTGAAGCAGGATGCAAAAATCAAAGTAATTGGTATCAAGGCCTGTTGCAT